AAAACTACTGATGCGCATGTAGAACGTTGAAGAGAACAAAGAGGGTGAGAAGTGAGCGAGAGAGAGAGAGAGAGATAGAGAGGGAAAAGATAATGAAAACCAGAGAGAGCAAGAGAGACAGAGACAGAGAGAGAGAGAGAGAGAGAAAGAAGTGTGTGAGAGTGAGTGTGAGTGTGTGTGTTTGTGTGTGTGTGTCTGTTGGACAGCTGCGTACAAGGGTGCACGTTTTCGCATGCCGGCAAGAGAGCCTTCAGAAACAGCTTACCGGCTTCCCAACGACGCCCAAAAGTCTTCGACACCCTTGAACCCTATAAGCCCTCCCTAAACCGAAATCCTACGGATCACCGCCTCCACTGGGTCCGACATGTCTTGCGACAGGGAGCTCCGGACCTCCACAGGATGCTTGGAGCCCACGAGGCTTCCAAAAAGAGTCGCCCGGGAGTTCTGGGGTTCTTTCTGGGTTTTATCATGCGGGTTTCTGTGAGGCTTCCCATTATAAGGGTTGCTATAAGGGGTCTGCGTGGGTTACGCTAGTTTGAGTTAAGGGTGTGATTGCGAGGGCTCTATACAGGGCTTAGAGCCTCTACGGTTTCAGGTTCGGGCTTTGGTGCCTTTCTGTTCTAGGGCACAGCCTTTGGGATTTAGGGTTCAGTTGAGGGTCTGGTTTTAGATTCTAGGGCGCATAGAACTCATAGTCATAGAGTTCATCAAGCTTTTTGGATGTTTTGATCTCTCGCATGGCCGGGATCAATGTCCACAAGCGAGGCTGTATAGGAGTCCCTACTAGCAAGATAGTCCAGGAATTGGGGGTGGAAGGTCTGTAGGAAGCAGGATTCATAAGTCTATAATATACAAATACCCTCACTCCGAAAGCAGTGAAATGCATACAGACGGAACAGCAGCAAAGGCACAGGACTGACAATTCATCTGCTGTGTATGAGTCATGACCTGCACAAGCCTTGCGTGCACATCATGCACGGTTCAATCATGACGACAATCATGCGCGTGGGAGTGTCTGCCAGCGGCATGAAATCCTCAAAGCCCCAAAAGAAACAAAGGGAAAGACGGAGAGCGTTCGATCTCCGAGTGGTCCGTAGCTCAGGCATGGACGCGATAGTGCTGAACGGGGATGTTGAAGCTCTCAGGATGCTCCCACTTGATGATCACCTGCAGTGCAGTTTTTCTCAGATCCAGGGGCCTAAGACAACGAAACTCTTCAAGGGGTGAACTACGATGCAATCGTCCCTGGGTCGGTGCTGCCGGTTTCGTCTTGTCTGAGCTTCCACATGAGTCTGAAGTATGTGGGCTCCTAGGCCCAAGGCTCTTGCAGATGGCCACAGCAGTCCGCTGTCACGCGTGTTGGTGACTGCGAATATAAAACCACGATCGGGCTGGCGGTTTCGGAAGTACTGTAATTTTACTTTAAGAACTTGAGTGTCGGATTGAATGCGGATGAGCGGAGCAGGCTTATTTCACACCACTCTTATGCTGAACGACTCTCCTAGTAGAACCACCTCATTTGGATCAGGGGCTGATCTCGCCCTATGACGTGGCGCCATTTCAGAGATCTGCCTCGCCGGGCTTCAGGGACTCCGCATCACCCACTCGCACCTCTGGGCTCGGATTGGGGTTGAAGCTTCAATGCTGCTTAGGGCGAAACAGGCACGGGCAAAGCACCTGCAAGCTAACCTTAGCAGCACATGTCCAGATTCGATGTGCGTGTAGACGGACGGCATCTGTTGATGTATGTATGTACGTACGTATGTATGTATGTGTATGTGAGTGCTTTTATGTGTGTGACAATTTAATTTGACCTGTGCTTAGATTATGATACAAACCAGATTGCCCTGTGGATCCCTGCGGGCAGCCTCCTCTGTACGTCACATGGCTAGCAGCTAAAAACGAGCCCGCCAACTGAGCCCCTGGCTGGCGGATCCGGCCTCAGCAGAGAAGGAGGTGAGGAACAACGTCTTAAGGCGCGGCCTAGATTAAGCCTAAACCCTGAACACTCCCTAAACCCTGATCCTTAGGTCGTGTCTAGAGTCTAGATTGCGAGTCGATGGCGCAGGGTATGCCAAGCTTCAGTAACACGCAGCCGCAGTATCCCCCCCCTTCCCGCCCACGCTGAGACAATCGTAGTGACATGAAGCTGCTGAAGCAAAGCTCGACGATGCTTATTTGCCATCTGCCCTTCAACCCAAGTAAGCAATCTTTGCACACCCAGCCCAGCTATACCCAGCTGAAGTTGTCCGACCGAGATTCTTCTCAGGGGGGCGAGCACGCGTAGCGATGCCGAGGGTTGTCTCGCTCCACCTGGGCTTAAGTCTCTGGGCCAAGTTCAAGGCTTCGGGGCAGGGTGCAGAGGCAACTATAGTCAAGAACAGCTGCAAGAGAGATACAAAAGGCACCGCTAGCAGCCAGCAAATGGACTCCTGCTGCACAAAATCTCAGGTGGCCGCTACCACTATCCAGCTCGCAGTTTCACAATGTTTTATGTAGGTAGTTCTCTAAATTAGGGTCGCTTTTGGTTTTAGGACCCTAAAATAGTACGGCACCCTTGTAAAAAGGACCCTAGAAGGGACCTTTAACTTAGAGAACTACCGTGAACTATCCCATGTATGCCTCACATCATCAGGGTTACCGATGAGTACCAGCTAATTTCGGCCGAGGATATCTTTCATCTTTCTACCTGGCGAAGGTGTAACGAGGGACTTGGTCTCCTAGCCACACAACACGAATCCGTATCCGTATCCTATTTTGAGATAGGCTTCTCTTTTGGGTAATGTTACGGTACTGTAGGGATTCTTTAACATCCAAATGCTGCAGAATCGATGGGGCGCAGGCGCAGACGCTCCCTTCAAGTTGTGCGCGCGATGCTTGACGTAGTACCTCGCGTGCTTGCGGTTATGCAGACGCCAAGCCAACATCGGGAGATTACAAAAACCGCTGGTGATTGGTATCGGAAGCACACCAACTATGAAAAAAAAACAACACTTGTACAACTTCTGTAGCAAGATGAGGTTCACTCGTTCAGCCCTTTGGCCCGTTGCAGTACGTCATGCCGTTAAGCAAACGGACGGCCAAAGGAGTCCCTGGTGTCGGGAGCGGGGTTGTCCCAAAGCAGAAAAGCCTCCTGCCCGGCATGACTTTTGGGAGGGAGGAAGAGGGAAGGGGAGAGGAATGCCTCCGTACATGGGTCAGCGCTAGAACGGAAAGGAAGTGAAAGAAAGCGCCACCCACAACAGGCGATGTGTCCGCCCCCAGCCTCTCCAACCCCTGCAGCAGTGGAATGTAACACAGCACCATGAAGTTGTGGAACAGGCCCTAAAGGTTCTAAAGGAATGAGACTCCGAGCACCGGTGCCTCTATCCCCTCCCAACCTGAATCCCTGCAACATGAAATGTGACTGGAAATCTGCACCCCGAAAGACCAGAGCATTCAGAAGCTTTTCTCCTGGCGAGTAAACACTTGGGACAGCTGTTGGCTGTTGGCGCATTGCGCCACTGCATGAAGCCTCTATGGGAATTTCCGGACTTCGGATCCGCGGTATACGACCTACTGGAGACCATAGTTGTAACATTTTAGTTAACCTTAAGTTGACATTGAGAACAAGGGTTGAGGGCTCGGGTGGCGTATGCAGCATTGCTCATAAGGGGGGCTTGGGTGGCCGACTGCATGAGGTCCGGCTTTTCTGTTGCTTTTACCGTAACAACTTCTATGGCAATACTACTGCTATCACTTCTGAAATTGCTATTCCATGTGTTTTTTGCTTGATATCGCGGAAGACTCTCGAGAAGCATGAATCCCTTTTGCAAGAGTTCTATCGGGTTCAAGGTTTAGAGGTATATGACATATGGTCAAGGGTTCTGTGCAAGGTTTGTAAAGAACAATAGAACAAGGAGGTTTCGGGCCAGTTCCGGGTTCCCGAGGTATAGAGGCATTATAGCTGTTGTCGCTGGGGCGGAAGCTAGGCACTGAAATCCTATGTATGTACAGAAGTCCGAAATGCCCGATGGCTCCAAAGAGCACGGAGGATTCGGGTTGTCAGGGCATGGTCCACAATTGGGAATAATCGGGTGTCGACTCACTCGCGCAAGGCAGGCATGGCATGTTCGGGTTTAGGGTTTAGGGTCTCTTACTAATAGTCTAGTTAAAAAGCATCATGGAAAGCTTCGGGTTGAGGGTTGTTTGGAGTGATTGGAGTGCAAGGAAGAACTAAACCTGAATCCTACACCTTTCACCGAGCCAAGTTTTAGAGATGTCGCATTTGGGGCACATGGGGGTTGGATTGCAATCTTGCAATGGTGCAGGTTGTCGGCTTCATTGCTTGATCAAAAAGTGGAAACTCTTTCCAAAACGACTCTCCTAGGTCGATTGGATCTTGAAACCGCCATCCTCTGCCAGTCGACACTCTATATGCACTGGATCTGCACGGCGACTGTTGCCCATAGAAGCTGTTAGTGCGCCACAAATCCTCTTCTCGAGTCGCCTCTCGAAGACCATCCCGATGCCCCGAACCCTTTTTTGTTGCCACAATCCGCCCAACCCCCCCTTTGAGGGGAAGGCCGGGGTACGACGCGGAAGCCCAGCGGACGCGATGTTGCCGGTAGCTCATGGACCTGCTAAAGAACGTTGCGAATATCAGCTAACCATCCATTTCAGGTCAAGATATCCGGAGCCCCCCAGCCCCCAAAAAATGAGATCGGCAAGGGCGGGCCTCCTCTCGATCCCGCAGAATCCGTTCCTGCCAAAGCCGGAAGACGGGGTTGCTCGAAACTTGGCAGGGCCGCCTGAGGTGACTGCACCCCTGGCTCCTGCCCCTCCTCGAGTCTTCCGATTTCCGATGCAAGTGGGACTAAGCTAACTTAACTGCCTCACAAGCCCAAAAAAATGTGGATGAATCCTGTGTAGGTGAGCATGGGGAAGAACTGCAGTTCACAACCACAGCGGGTAGGTCGGGTCTCGGGCTAACCCCTTCGCTCCACAGACAGAGACGCGCCTCAACCCGGAGCTTTCGCGTCCAGCTGGTCCGCAAGCTCTTTCAGATCTGGAACCAACCTTGTAAATCAGGCTGTCGAGATCCAATTCAATCCTAAACCTCAATCCTGCACCTGGTGAGCTTATGAGCAACCGTGGAACATTCACCCCAATTCTGTGGACGGCGCCAGTGCTGTTGCTGCGATTTCGACTTGCTGATATAAGCAATGATGCTTCTCCATAAATGTTGCGAACTACGACCGTTGTCGATTGCAGGCAGGGAGCAGGGCAAGAATCCACTTGTACATGAGCACGATGGCGTGGTTCTTCCCGTCCTTGGCTGAAGGCTTGGCTGGGATCAACGCTTTAGACTGCAGGATTATGAAGCTCGAAGTTGTTTTTTCTGCATCCCCGAGTCCAGTCGCATCGCCCGCATGTCCGCGATATCTTGGTCCGAAGCGACACCACGCAGAAACAGAGCCCGGAACACAAAACACAGCCAACACACACACACACACAAAACGTTCAATCTCCCTCTCTCTCTCTCTCTCTCGCGCTCGCTCTCTCTCTCTCTCTCTCTCTCTCGCGACCGACCGACAGCCCTACCTGGCGCCTACCTACCAACGTACGCAGCTATCTATCTATGTATCGATGTACCTTTGAATCTGTCTACCGACCGACCTATCTACCGATCTATCCATCCCATCCATCCGTCGACCCCATCTACCCGACTTTCAATCTACCTATCGATCTAGCCATCCATCGGCCCACCTATCTATCGATTCATCTGTCCATCTACCTTTCGACCTGTCGATCTAGCTATCTATCTATCTATATCTCTCTCTGTCTGTCTAAACTGAGAGGGGCTACGCTTACCTAACCTAGGCTTAAAATCTAACCCAACCTAGTCTAATCCAAGCTTCAAAATACAAACTAAACCAATCTGTCTTTGCACGTGTGTGTGTGTGTGTATGTATCTCACGTATATGGTTCGTCTACCCATCTTCCTGCCTATCTTTCTATCATGTTATACCTATCTAACTGTCTTTCTGGATACCTCGCTACCTATCTACTAACTACCCATCTCCGTATCTAACTACCTACGTATCTAGCTACCTACCTACGTACCCATGCATCTATATGCTAATCTGCCCATCTTTCTGTCTGTCTGCCCATCAAGGTGCATCTTCGAGAGCGATTCAGGGCCTACTGCGGTTTGTGGGGCCTAGGGTTTAGGAGTAGGCGTGCAGTGAGTATGTACATGTCAACCGTCGAGAGTATTTAGGTGGATCATGTGGATCATGGACACGCCCAAAGCCCTAAACCAACAAGCAAGCCTGGCCGAGTGGCAGTGGACCCGAACCTTTCCGGCTCGAGGGATAAACATTCTTCAATGTCGGTTCCGGCTTGGCGGTTTAAAGCTCCTGGACAATTCTGTTGCCCAAACATAGTGTTCTGATTTCGTTATGTATGACATATTGCACGCCATATGATATGTGTGTATAAAGATATACACATGTGATATCAAAGTACGTGTAAACAATAAATAATTATATGTATATATATATATATATATACATAAATAAGCGAATACAAAAACAAACAAACAAACACATACATAATGAAAACATAAAGAACAAAACATGATTCGATAAATAAATGTATATATATATACATACATACATACATACATACATACATACATACATACATACATACATATGCACATACAAACCATGCATACATGTGTCATGCTATATGTTACAGTATTATATGATAGCAACCTGACTATGCGAGATGATGTTATAACAATATGCTATGCTATGTTATATGATGTTGTAATTATGCTGGACTATATTATTTCATATTGACCTAACTTAAGTTATATGATATTTTCATGTTGAGCCAAACCTTGCACGGGTCCTACACCCGGAGCTCTAAGTCACCTGAGTCTCGAGTCTCCCTAGGACAGTGCATCAAACCGCAAACCAGCACCCCACAGACACCTCAAGCCACAGAATGCCTTCCAATATCCATACTCTCTGGGCTGAGCCACAGCGATTGACAGGAGCTCAGTACCCGCTCGTAGCTCAGCGGCCTCTCCGATGATCCGAGCTTAGTGAAAGAGTGGTCATGAGAGCGGTAGGTTAGGGATTATGAACTGAAAAGCTCACGGTGGAACATGCAGGGGAGAGGGGCAGTCAAAAATAGAGGGCGTACACGAACTCTGCAGCTCATCTGCTTTCGCACTGGTTAGGGCCATAAATGACTAGTGTTTTGCGTAGGGTTGAGGAAGCTAGGCAAATGTCTCATGTTCAAGGAAGCCACGAATCCTAAGCTTTCCGTTTCTTCGCGCTCGATCGACTGCTCATCGTACACACGGAAAATTGCCGCTCTGAATTCTGCTGAGGATATGTGTTATCGGCGAGGCGAAACAGCTAGAGCAAAACAACTGGACATATAACACGCCTCGTGAATGGTCAGAACGGCACACAAGGACGACAGCTGGGGGACCACTGCAGCTCCACAACGCCTACCACGACAACTGCTGCTGCGGACTCCGTGTCCCACATCAAGCAACTGCCTGGGGGGATCGCCCTCGAGCTCCGCGATGTCTGCATCCACCTGGTCACCATGCAGCCAGAACAAACAGGCAAAGAAACAAGCGTCGCTGCCTGACCCTGTACCAAGTAAAGTCTTTTATATGTTCAACTGAATACCAGTATCTAAGGTAGACATCCCTTTACACACGGGGTAAGTAGCTCTGGTTCTACCATGGTACCTTACATAAGCCGTCAGTTGGCTACTCAGCATGATTCACCAACAAGGATTGAACTTGTATGTTACTGGTAACAGGTGAACCCAATAACCAAGCAACTGGTCAAATGATAAACTCATCAACTGATTGACCAGACGGATATCTGATCAAGCCAACAGGCGGCACCTTCTCCACGGTGAAAAACCTGACAGTCGCACATTTTCGATTCTGAGGGGCTGGGGTTTAGGACTAGGATTTCGGCAGTATCTGTCGTGTTTTTTGAAGCAGGGCTCTACAGCTATGCCTTCCCCTCCATATCTGAGCTCATGTCAGGACAGGAAGGCCGAGGAAGAATCGGTGATTCCTACATTGGTGACTACGGTGAAATGCATAGAGCTGGGATGTAGCAAGGGAAGGTATCATGCCACGTGTCTCACTGAGCCTTGGCTTTAGGGTTGGGGACGTCGGTGCTCAAGGAACAGCACGCCCAAACACTACCCGGAAGGTCTTGGGGATGTGAGGATGGAAGGTAACGTGAAGGCTTAGGCCTTACGGGCGCAATTAATGGTTTTAAGGATACCGCGGGCGAGTCTTTGCCTTCACCCTCCGGATTCAGCAAAACCCAATGAGATGTACCCAATCCTCGTCCAAACTTTCCAAAGCCCGGAAAGCTACCATCATGCCCACGCTTTTTTCGCTTGCAAACGGAACCAAGCAGGAACCCTACATGGTGCGCCAAGAAGGGACCGCCGCGCTGCATAGCTGCCCCACAGCGGCCGAGTTTTCATCTCTTCCTCGACAGGCTTTTTTGCGGAAGGCAGACCGAGACGTACTATTTGCGATTAGGGCATATTCCGTGGCGTTCCCGGTGCTTCCAGCGATCCTAGAAGGGGAGCTTTTTATGGAGAAGAAGCGGAACTTGGACTAACAGATGGTGCAGGGAGGATTCTATGAGTTTCCTGTCTAGCCTCCATCTTGGGATGACTGTTTCATGGTTGTTTTTTCAAGGGTAGGCCATGTTCAACATAGGTGCGATCCCCCGTGGCTCTGCGAATATCAGGAAACATACCAACAAGCCCCAAAGGGAGCAGAGCCTCAGAGCATTTGCAACAGACGTGGCTCGTTTTTAGACAGATGTCAGAAATGTCCGCTGACAGTGTAAGACCAAGATGGTCGTACTGTGCCAGGCCGAGGATACCTTTCAATACAACATACAAGGAAAAGACCAGCACTTATGATCCAGTCTCTGTCGAATCACGGGCCCGCCTTCCTTGCCTTGAAGTTCATGACGCGCTGGCACATGGAACCTCCGCACAGGACACGAAAGAAAGAATGGGCAAACGAAAGTTGTCTGCACCGGGGACAGGGTAGGGAGCGACTCAGGGGCCTTGATAGATACAGAGAGAGAGAGAGAGAGAGTTAGGGTTTAGGATTTAGGGTTGAGAGAAAGAGGTAAAGACAAAAAGAAAGAGAAAGCCAAGCTGGAGGGAAAAATGCAAGAGGGAGAGGGAGCGAGTAAGAGCGACCGAGATATAATGTATGTGCGCGCAGGCAGCCACATACACGTGAACGAGCAATGTCTCATCGAGTGAATCATCCAACTGTGGTGGACCTATCTGTCCTTGCATTACATGTGTGATCATAGGCCCGGGTGCACATGCGGCTTTTGTTTGCATACAGACATAGCTTGTATCATTGTATCAAGCGAAACTCCTTTGATTCAGTAGATAGTTCGTGCTGCTGGAAGTGTGCAAGTCGCGAGCCAGAAAACTTACAGCCACAGCCTCTCGTGACCACAACAAAACCACGAACAAGCACGATCGCAGGATGCGACAGCCACTTTTCCGGTGATCAATGACGGGCTGGAAAAAACAGGCTTTTGACCAGGCAACGAGCAGATAAACAAATCCATGCACAGTGGCGTCGGAACAGTCTTGCCCATTTGCTCCACTAAGCATGTTGGGTGCAATGCCTCCTCGGGCTACACGTGCCTGGCGAAACCTGAACCCACATTGTTGACCACCCCTCAGCCTTGTATTGTCAAGCCAAGCGGCTGTCTTTCAGCATGTCCTGAATTCCCGACCATTCGGGCGGCGTCAAGGCACTGATAGATGGCAGGCCCGAGGAGGGCAGCAAAAGCAAGTACCTGAAGAGTAAAAAAGGGGCTTCGGGTTCAGAGCAAAGCTGCGATGTTTTGCAGCAGCAAAGTGAGATTCCAGATGGAAAAATCCAGCGCTTTGTCTCATGCAAATTTCAGCCATGGCCGGACCTTCGCGCGCCGTCCAGTATAACTTAGGTCTTAGACCCAGCGTTCAACAAAATATCCAGCCACGAATCGAAGCGGTTGTCAACAGCTCTGGCCACGGCGGTACCGCACAATCGTGGAGGATATGGGTTTTAGATGTTGTAAGACATCGACTTAATGAATGAATGGTTGGATGGATGGATGGATGGATGGATGGATGGATGGATGGATGGATGGACGGACGGATGGATGGGTAGATGGATGAATCGACAATCATCTCCTCGGACAAATGTCCATGCACAGGACACTTCACCTCAAGCTACTGAACCCCCCCCAAGATTCGCCTTCGTGCTGAGGCTTAGAGCTGTTGTGTCTGCCAGAGTTGGTGCCTTGAGCCCAACCGGGAAGACTGACGGCCTCACGACCTCGCAAGGCAGCTGCCATACTTGGAGGTTCATGGGTAGTTATAAGTGGAGTTATAAGTCCCCTAATTTGGGTTATAATTACAGTTACCCTACTTATAACCCCACTTATAACTACCCATGAACCTCCAAAAAGTGCAGCAAGCCCGAAACCCAAACTACCCGACTCCGGCACATCGCAAACTTTTCACCCTACAGTTTAAGCCCTATAAGCCCGAATGGATTAGCCTCCGAAGCTCTTTCATGTCTTTGGCCTCACCTCACACTCCAAACACTCGGACCCGGATCCATACATAACAATCCACGAAAACATGCAAAACAGCGTGTGTCGCAAGGCCTACTTTTTTTAAGGATCCACGCTGGCACCCCAAATCTTCTTAAACGCCCCACACAACTAAATCCAAAACCCCTTAAGCCTGTGAACATTAAACAAAGCCCTAAATACACCTACTTGGAGGTTCATGGGTAGTTGTAAGTGGAGTTACAAGTCCCCGAATGTGGGTTATAATTACAGTTACCCTACTTATAACCCCACTTATAACTACCCATGAACCTCCAAGTAGGCTCTAGTTCTCTATATTAGCGTCCCCTTTTAGGTCCCCAATATAGTACGGCACCCTCATAACAAGGACACCCAAAGGGACCTTCATTTAAGGAACTACCCAACTAGGCTCCAGCTTGCGGGCCACCTCCGGGCCCTTGCTGCCAGGAGGCACCGCCTCTAAGACTCGACGGATTGGATCCGGTACGACCTGAAGGATCCAACACAAAAAAACAACAAATACCAATATACATATAATATTATATTATCTAATATACTATAATATAATATGATATACTATAAGATCATCTGATATACTATAACATAATATATAGCATAATGAGAAATTTTCGCTGAAGAATGTACATGGGGCCCAGGGTCGTCTTGCGGCGTATACGGTATAACCCGTATAACCCAGTCGCGAACTGCCCTGGCACTTGAACGGAGCTAGACTCCATGGAGGAAAACTGCGGCAAAGCAACCACAGCGGTGAGGGTTATAACATCCCAGACCCCTAACATCTCTGTATGTATTTGTGTATGTATGTATGTTGCTTGCCTAATGTGTATATATATATATATAGAGAGAGAGAGAGACATATATATATATATATGATACATACATGACCGAATATTATATACAACATGTCATGTAATATATATATATATATACATACAATATACATATAATATAAATGATATAGTAGAATGTACTAAACTATGATAGATATTATAATGTAGATGTGTGTGTACTTTTTATGTGTATATATATATGCATGTGTATAGATGCGCAGGTATATGTACATGAGCAGCACGCGCCCAGGCTGGGATCGAAGCATCGCGTTGGCGCGCTGCATGAAGACTTCTCGACTGCCGAGAGGCCGTGAGCGATTCGAGCTTCTTGAGATCGTAAGGGTCCATCTTCTTGATCTCGTCCTTGGCCGAAAGGAGTTTGTCAGACTTCTGGACCCCTGGACTGCTAAGTAATGTATGGGCCTCACGAATTAGAACAGGGTTTTGGGCTCCTTTATAATATATTTAACATAGGGAACACTAACAGTGATATCGGTAATAATCTAGGCTTCTATATTTGTATGCGCAGTAAAGGCGTATTGGTAATAGTACAATGTGGGGCAGTGGTGTTCAACCGTATGGGTGCCAGCGATCGCACGATGAGATGATCGCGGCAGCATGTTGGCGTCTGCCCCAGGCTCTTGAAAAGACAACAACAAGAGCCTTCCTTCGCCAAACTGGAGCCTTCGGACATCTCGACTCCATGGTGCCGAAGTTTGCCGCAAGGTCCTCTTCAAAACAAAAGCTTCACCCGAGAGTCCTCGATGGCGAAGCCGTCGATGGTCTCCAGCTCTGCCCGAATGTCGGGAGCTGCAACGGGTAGCTGGATATCTGCCTCGGTTATTCTAGCCACTTCTGCGCATGCATAACTTCTCTGTAGGGTGTAGTTGCTTGGGAATCGCTTCTACCTACGAACTGCGCTGCTGCAACACCGGTGACAGATTACATGGCGCGTCTCGCAGCCTGCACCCGGAGGGTCATGCATTCAGCAAGCACGGTAGATGAGTCGTGACAATGAGCTTTGATGACAGCTAGCTTCTGAAGTCGCTGTCTGCCTCCCCCGCCTTTGTCCTTCGAAGACGAGCCCAAACAACGACAGCCCACGACCGAAGTGCAAACCATCCACAAGCCGTCGCGTCTTAAAAAGCCTTAACCTTAGGCCTCAAAGCCACAAGCCATAGGCCCCAAAAACCCCTAAGCCGGTTTGGAGCCAAGAACTCCGACGGCTCTCAGCTGAGACCTCATCATTTTCAGGCCGTAGCCGGGTTTAGGATTTTGTCCCACCTGCCCAGCTGACCAAGTCGCACTTTAGGGTTAAGGGTGTAGGGTTTAGCTCTACACCTGCAGTCCTCGAACTTCCGCGCCCGTAACATCCCATAAGCTCGCCAGGACATCATGGTTCTTGCACTTTGCGTTTTCGGGTTTGAAGCTTACTGAACTTAGGGCGGTTAGGCCTGCGGCTGTGGCTTGGAATAAGGCTAGTTACCACCATCTCAAGCCCCTCGTAGCCCATTTCACAAAAAAAAGCTCGGCACCACGCTTTTTACATTGCTGCTAACTGACCTTTGTTGCCTTCAAAAAAATCGCGGGGCATTAGTAGTAGTAGTAGTAGTAGTAGTAGTAGTAGTATTAGAGTCTGCTAACCAACAGAAACTGCGGCTGAAGGGGCCACGGACCACTCCAGGGTCTTTGCGCCGTCCGTGGTCTCGGCGATCTCTAGCGCGCCCTTGAAAGAGTTGGTGCCTGGATAGGGTTAGGGTTTAGGGTTTGGGGTTTAGGGCCTATATTTCGGTAGTTTTCTAAAATGGTCCCTTTTTTTGGGTCCCCTATGTAGGACGGCACCTTTATAAAAAGGACCCCCAGAAGGGACCCTTATTTAGAAAACTACTTATTTACGCTCTCGGGACAAAAGCAAGGCGAGGATCTATAGGTGCAGGTCGGCGTGACATTAGCAAGGAAGTACCCTTGCCAGCGACTATGCAAGGACCACCACATGAAAAAACGGCTAGGGGCAGTGATAACAACACTTTCCACAAAGAGTGCAATGAAAAGACCCACTGAAAAGTTTAGTAGCATAAGACACTTCTCGCGGCACCAAGGCCTTCAGTTCTACACGGTAGTTCAGCTTCATGTCTAGGTGCAACTCAACAACTGTAACTACAGGCTCCGGCTTACAGATCGGGTTCCTGAAGCAAGGCATCATGCCGTGAGGCTAGTTCCGAATTCCTTGTGCTGCGATATGCTACATTCAACGCATTCCTAGATGAGAAGATGGGCCTCTGCAATAGCAAAACAAGAAACAGGTGCGTTTGGCGTTTAGCACCTCGGGATGTGGAGTTGACTCTGAGTGCTAGCAGGGCAAAGCCGCAGTCCCTTCCTCAGGCTAGACCCTCTTTGCCACCGGACTCAACTCTAGCCAGGCTACTGTACGACTTGACCGAGGCCGACATGCACCGATACCAAAGCCGCTCTTACCCTAAAACCTATGCGAGGCAAGAGCCTTCCCTAACCCTCCAGGTACCTACTATATAGGATCTATATAGGGCCCTAGGGGCTCTAGTACCCTATATAGTATTATATTATATAATACTATATAGGGTACTAGAG